AATAGTAATGGAGTAATCAGTGCTAGTAGTAATGGTGTAATCAACACTAGTAGTAATGGTGTAATCAGTTTCTATTAGTAATGGTGTAATCAACACTAGTAGTAATGGAGTAATCAGTACTGGTAGTAATGGTGTAATCAACACTAGTATTAATGGAGTAATCAGTGCTAGTAGTAATGGCGTAATCAACACTAGTAGTAATGGTGTAATCAACACGAGTAATAATGGTGTAATCAACACTAGTAGTTATGGTGCAATCAACACTAGTAGTAATGGTGTAATCAACACTAGTAGTAATGGAGTAATCAGTGCTATTAGTAATGGTGTAATCAACACGAGTAATAATGGTGTAATCAACACTAGTAGTTATGGTGCAATCAACACTAGTAGTAATGGTGTAAGCAACACTAGTAGTAATGGTGTAATCAGTACTGGTAGTAATGGTGTAATCAACACTAGTATTAATGGAGTAATCAGTGCTAGTAGTAATGGCGTAATCAACACTAGTAGTAATGGTGTAATCAACACGAGTAATAATGGTGTAATCAACACTAGTAGTTATGGTGCAATCAACACTATTAGTAATGGTGTAAGCAACACTAGTAGTAATGGTGTAATCAACACTAGTAGTAATGGTGTAATGAACACTAGTACTAATGGTGTAATCAACACTAGTAGTAACGGAGTAATCAACACTAGTAGTTATGGTGCAATCAACACTAGCAGTTATGGTGCAATCAACACTAGTAGTAATGGTGTAATCAACACTAGTAGTAATGGTGTAATCAACACTAGTAGTAATGGAGTAATCAGTGCTATTAGTAATGGTGTAATCAACACGAGTAATAATGGTGTAATCAACACTAGTAGTTATGGTGCAATCAACACTAGTAGTAATGGTGTAAGCAACACTAGTAGTAATGGTGTAATCAACACTAGTAGTAATGGTGTAATCAACACTAGTACTAATGGTGTAATCAACACTAGTAGTAACGGAGTAATCAACACTACTAGTTATGGTGCAATCAACACTAGCAGTTATGGTGCAATCAACACTAGTAGTAATGGTGTAATCAACACTAGTAGTAATGGTGTAATCAACACTAGTAGTAATGGAGTAATCAGTGCTGGTAGTAATGGTGTAATCAACACTAGTAGTAATGGAGTAATCAGTGCTGGTAGTAATGGTGTAATCAACACTAGTAGTAATTGAGTAATCAGTGCTGGTAGTAATGGTGTAATCAACACTGGTAGTAATAGTGTAATAAACACTAGTAGTAACGGAGTAATCAACACTAGTAGTAATGGTGTAATCAACACT